CGAGGATGAGAAATGGAGAGAGCTGTACCGGATTCTCTTTTCGGCATCTCAGAAGATTCCTTCTCCTTGTATGTCTCTTTATCCGGCTGCTATTTTGACATGTGCTGACCTGGCTGCCCAAGACTACGAACAAACACCCCCAGCCACAAGCGTCAAGGCTGAAGATGAACCGCGTCCAGTTGCCACAGTCCCTCTTGCCCCATCCTCCTCTCGCACGGGCACACCCAGCAGCTCCCAGGGAGGTCCCGTTAGACAACCTACCAGGGGCCTCGAATCCATCCACTTCAGAGACGAAGCCGAGTTGGTAGAGTGCAGACAACACATTCATCAGGGCCTCCGCCGCCGCGTCCGTCCCCTCTTGGAACAAGAGGTCGACAAGATGCTCCGGTCCGTGCAGCATGCCATGGCACAAAAGGTCACGGAGCTGTGCAAGGAAGCTGTTACGAAACTCTTTCGTACTTGGCAGTTTGGGAATGACCAGACCCAGAGCCAAAGCCAGACTTCGACCCCGGCTTCGACACACCGCGCGGGGAGCCAGACGCAGACGAGTACCGGATATGCCGAGACGTTGTACGGCGCTGGCTACGACGCTGTGAACTACCACCACAAGGTGGCAGATACGACAGAGGCGGGACCTATCGAGGTCAACTACGAGCAGTTCGTAACCGAAACGCCCGCAATTATGATTGAGAATATGCTCGACAATGGCGAGTTCGATCTCGAGGGGTGGCTGAACGAGTACGACTCCAATGGTGGATTGGACTTTTCGTCGGCTCTGGGGGACACCGTTGCCGGCGCTTCGGATTCGGCTTACTTTAGCACGCTCGAATCTGGCTCTGTTGATGGGACTGGCAGCAGCGCCAGTTTCGTGGGTGGACGATATGGCGGGATTTACTGATTTTTGGGTTCTTCACGTTAATCTCTATTCTTTTCTCACTATCATCTCTTGCCCTTGCTTTCTTTCCCTGTTTTCACGTCTTTCTTGTCTTTATCGCTATTATGATTTTGTGATGATATGTTTGGATAGTATTATGATGGTCTCTTTACAACACCACCACTCGCTAGGTCTGCCTTTCTTTTGTATTCCGTTTGGCTAGGGTATCCACGGTCTTTATGTCACGATACTGATTATGACCCGCTGGCAGTGTAGGATTCCTGATAACGATTTAGTCTCTTGTTCTAAATAAACCACATGAAATCTCATCACAGTTTCTCAGAATTTAACTGTTACATGACGATCAAAACTGAACTTGAATTCTACACTCTTACCTGCTAATAAACCTGAAAGCAAGCAAGGAATGACACTCTATGTCCTCGAATCACAGAGGGGCCTTTCATGTGCTGCCATGTAATACGCATGGGAGGCCTACAATCTTCCCAAAGCAGGCACCATGATGCCCGTCGCGTGGCGGCTCCTAAATGGTCGGCAAGATCTCATATATCTGACTTTTACCTCCATCAATATGCGATGCTACTACGTATACTGCAGCTTACACACCCTTTTTCATGGCTCGATGCCCCCCTCCGTGTGCATGAGGCTATGAGCCGCGCTAGGCGTGACATCTTGCACAATGCAGACATACAGTGAGCAGAATTTTGCGCCTCTGCGTACGTACCTTGGGCATGTATATTATACGCCGTATGGGACTGGGAAGGACATATACCGCAACCTTGGCTACTTCCAGCATTTCCAGGAGAGCAGTATGGGATGGAACCCCGCATTCTGTGAGACAATAACGTGATAAGATGAAAGAGGGGTAATCCAGTGTAGCGAGCAGGCTGCCTCAGTTTCGTCCCATATTCAAATTCGGTCAAAAGTCGCTCAATTATTGGATGAAAAAGGGGTAATGTTTTGATCCGATTTGAGAGAAACTGGTTCGGAGTGAAGTGACCCGGCAGCGGGCAGTTACTCCACAATGAGCTTCAATCCCTGTCGGCAGGTGGGGCTTGCAACCTTTTTGGGTGCTCCGATAAGCGATAAGATAGCGATAAGGATTTTCAGGGACCTGCTTTGGAGAAAAAAATCAGTTGCTGCAGCAAGCGGTGACCTCTGCAAAGCCGCAAGATCGCATCGCCAATCCTCCGAAAAGATGGTCAAGAAAAAGGTAGCCGCGCTCGAAAAGGTCGAGGCCGACCTCGTCAATCTGCAGTACAAGATCCGCCGCGATCCGCAATCCTACGAGCAAGAGTTCTACGACCAGTGGCTGGCCTACGATGCGCAGCGCCAGATCTTCGTCTCCTCCCCCACCACGGCCTCCAGCGAGGACGTCACCAAGTTCCACGACCTCATCGACCTCGTCGCCCACGTAGCCGATCTCTACCCCAAAGTCACTGCCTGCTACCCCGACCACCTCAAAGACCTGCTGAACCAGCACCATGCCGCCCTCCACCCGGAGCTGCGCGAAAAGATCGTGGGCAGCCTGGTGCTGCTGCGGAGAAAGGAGGTCATCGACTCGGCTAGTCTCTTGACAACCCTGTTCCCCATCTTGATCTCGACGCCCAGCAAGACACTGCGATCGCTTCTCTATACCAAGATTATCAGCGAGCTGAGGGAGTCGAACTCCAAGACGACGAATCACCGTCTCAATCGCACCATCCAGACTGTGCTGCACAATCTGGTCACGTCGGACAGGACATCGACCAAGGGCATGTGGGCGGCGAGAATCACTCGGGAGCTGTGGCGTCGCCAGGTTTGGACCGATTCGAAGCCGTGCGAGGTCATGAAGGAGGCCTGCCTCAGCGACAATGAGAAGGTCGTGGTCGGAGGTGTGAGGTTCTTCCTTGGCGGCGACAAGGAGAGAGAGGAAATCCAGGACGAGTCCAGCGACGAGGAGATTGATATCAAGAAGCTCAAGCACATCGGTGGGATCAACAAAAAGACCAAGAAGCGCAAGGCGGCGATTGACAAAGCCAAGGATAAGGTCAAAAAGTAGGCCTCACCCATCTCCCTCTCGCCCGTGCTCAACTAACCACGCAACTTGTACAGACAAGAGCGCAAAAAGAATGCGCCTCACCCGCTCAACTTTTCCGCCCTCCACCTCCTTCACGATCCCCAAGGCTTCGCCGAGCAGCTCTTCCAAAAACACCTCCAAAACACCAAGAACAGGTTCAGTCTCGACAACAAGCTCCTCGTCCTGCAGCTCGTGACCCGTCTGGTCGGCCTCCACCAGCTGACCATCATCTCGCTCTACTCGTGGTTCGCACGCTACCTGACACCCAAACAAGCCCAAGTCACGTCTTTCCTCGCCTCCCTCGCGCAGGCCACCCACAACCTCGTCCCGCCAGACGCCATCGAGCCGCTAGTGGTCAAGATCGCCAACGAGTTCGTCTCCGAGGCCTCGGCAGCCGAGGTCGCTTCAGCCGGTATCAACGCCATCCGCGAGGTGTGCGTTAGGCAACCGCTCTGCATGACAGAGACCCTCCTCCAGGATCTGGTCATGTACCAGAGGAGTAAAGACAAGGGTGTCGTGATGGCCGCCAAGGGTCTCCAGTCTCTCTACCGCGAGCAATACCCAGAATTGCTGCAAAAGAAATACCGTGGCAAGGAGGCGTCAATGGGTCTTAAATCCGGTGCTGTCAGGCAGCTCAAGTTTGGTGAGCAAGAAGTCGGCGGGATCGAGGGTATCGAGCTTCTTGAGCAATACAAAGAGGAGCTCAAGAAGAGGCGTGTCGAGGAGGCACTCGCGAACGGTGCGGATCCGGATACGGTCATGAAGGATGGCGAAGACGAGGACGGGTTCAACTCGGACGAGTGGGAGGTTGCATCGAGCGAAAGCGATGACGACTCTGACGGGTGGATCAACGTCAGTGATTCCGAGGATGAGGCACAGGAGGTCCCTGCTGCCAAGCGTCGGAAGACGAGTCCTCGGGCTGACGGTGAAGATGCGCCCGATCTCGTAGACGGCGCCGCCGAGAAAGAGAGGGAAGAAGCAGCGGCCGAAGCAGCGCGGATATCCAAGCTCGCGACCACGACAATCCTCACCCCCGCCGATCTGGCCAAACTCCAGGAGCTGAGGAGGGAAGCCAACATCGACAAGGCCCTAGGTTCTCGCTCGAAGCGCGTGCAAGAGATGATAGCGCGGCATATCGACGAGGGCGTCACGGCAGACGATATCGAGCTCCCAGCGCAGCTAGGCAAGAAGGAGACCAAGGAGGAGAGAGTCGCCAGGGCGGCGGCGGGCAAGCCCGGAAGAGACGAACACAAGAGCACCCAGGCCATACGCAAGGCCAAGAAAGAGAGCGAGGGCAAGAGCACGACCAACAAGGAGAAGGCCAGGAAGAAGAACCTGCTCATGGTGCTGGGCAAGGCTAAGCAGAAGAACAAGAGGAGTTTGATCGAGACCAAGAAGACGCTCAAGATGCATATTTCGAGGAGTAAGAAGGGGGGTAGGAGGGGCAATTTTAGTTAATACCCATAGACTCAGGAGTGCCTGTTGTTTCATATCCCCGTTGTTTATGGTACTTGGTATGCCCGTTTCGTTCGTTCTCATGCATGATATGGATATTGATATACTGTGAGACCGTCCTGTTATCCGTCGAATTCGACAAACACATACGTAGTATCCGCAATGTGCCTGGCTGCCTGTGCTGCTAACACGAATAACAAATAGATAGATAAATAACCCTACCGTAGTTGCTAAGATGTTATCTGATATCGTATGCTTACGGCCAGTGTATGTACCATTACGTAGTCATGTAGCGAGTGCAGCGCGGTGCGGGAGACTAATAAATACTCACTCGTAACTTGTTCTGAACTATAGATAATGACTCGAAGGAAATTATCTCCATGTATTTGCTTGAGGTTTTCTTCTTTTTTTCATTCGGCTATTTATGATATCAGATGGATTAAAGACCTTTCTATGTCCACCCACCCACCCCCAAGTTCTAAAAAGTATGGTAATGATCCCCTCCCTCCCTTGTCAAGATTGAGTGTGAGGGAGGGAGGGTAGCTCAAAAAGTAATGCAAGTACATTACAGCAAAGGTAATACAAGTGAATGAATGGGACCTGTGAGGATCGAACTCAGGATGACTCTGGTATTCTCACCAGATCATAGACTATCTTTATGTCATGTGGATAACAGATAGATAGGAAGCTATGAGACCTGCGCGCTAACCAACTGCGCCAAGGTCCCGGTTCTGTTCTTCTTGTTGTTGATGATATTTGACTTTGGCTTGTGGTTTTTATGGGCTTGTCGTGGCTTGTGATAGTAGTGGTTAAAAGAGCTTGCGGTTTAACGTTTGGTATAGCCTGACTCGAAGGGCAGAAAATGTCAATGAATTAACTCTATATACAAACCCGGTAAGGACTGTTCGGCTGCTGATATGAATGACTAACTCATAATATCAAAAATCCAAAAAGTACAAAAAGAATTATCCTCTTCTCCCATCACATTATATGACGACCAACCCAGGGGTCGAACCTGGAACCTCCTGATTCGTAGTCAGACGCTCTGCCATTGAGCCAGCCGGCCGAAGAGTGAGAAGAGGATTGATGTGTTACAATCCCGTGGAGACAGCTTTTCTCATGGCTGACTCGGCCGGGCGGGGTCATAAAAAACAAAAAAACATACAACACTGAGGATTCCCCAGTCGTCACCGACCTGAGTACTAATTCAGCGGTCACTTGTTTATCTATGGGAGAGCGGACGGGATCCCGAGTTCTCAAGTGCCTATGGTCGTATGTGATGTCTCAAAGAAAACGCGCGGGTTTTATACTACTGCATGACTCCTCTCGTTGAAGGGATCTTCATCAGCTGGGTGGACGTGGGCGCCTGGTAGGCTTCCAATGTTCTGATCTTTCTCGTGGCATTTGTGCCTGCGTGAGAGACATCTCGACTAGGTCGGATTGTTTTGTGAAAGGTGAAGGGCTGGTGAGTTTGTTATGATGCAGTTAATTAGGTACCCGGCAGTCAAGTGGGTGAGGTTCTTGCTTATTGGTGTCCACAAGGTGTAATCTATGCAGGTGATCAGATCACGACATCCTTTGCGTAGAAGTCAAGCTCTGGACCTGGAATTCTAGGCGAGACCGGGCCCCGATCTATGAATAGAGCTTTCATGATTGATGGGCGTCAGGGTCAGGGTCCTGGATTGTTTATGATACAGAGAGATACTTCTACGTTGTCAGATATATCACGATCAAGCCCGTGTCGCCTAACAACTGTCTCTTCCCAGTGGCGCCGGACTGTACATGATGTGCATATCTTGTCAGTGTTGATGGTGTGGGAGCTTAGCTACTTGAAGTGTGGTCAAACTTGGACCAGGGGTCTTCGGCCTATGATGCGTGGCGTTCAGTTTGTTCTTTAATGGAAAGGTGGTGGCCGAAAGTGGCTGTTTCTATATTCCCAAGTAAATTATTCAAATGTATCATCCATGGATCCAGGTTCATGGTAATCGGGTAAGAAGCTCGGATCTCCGGATGGTTGGGATGGTGGGCAGCCGGGTAATATCCAGTAAATACCAGAACCCGTTGCCCCAAAATATGTCCCGAGAGTTCCCACAAGGGCGGGATGGTTCAGGAGAAGGGAGTGCGGGCCGAGAAGCTTCTCTAACGAGCCTCTTACTAAAGGACACCATATACGTGAGGTGGGTAAAACTTGGGTGTTGTGTCCAGCCCCCATTCTTCGAACGCAGGCGGACGGAGCAAAGCCCACGAACTGGTCACAGTCTAGATTTCTGGGACCTTGGATCAAACACTATCAACATGCAGCGGAAAGACGCTATATATTACTGATAGTTCCTAAACGTTCAATCTGACAAATAGATTGCTGTTATCTGAGTATTAATGATTGACCGGTACCAAGTTTGCTCCAAGTAAAGATGACCATTCCCACCTATCGTTTTGCGAACTCGCTTAGGATGAACCTCAAATTGACTGCCTACCCAAAGTTCCAGACTCGTCGTTTGCGAAGCCGAGTGGGATGGACGGCGCGGGTAGTTCATTAGGGTCTGCCTGGCTTGTCAGGAACCCGGCGATCTCTTTGCGAGATTCAAATTCTCCGTCGCTTCTATCCTGCCTGCATTAGCACATTCACCCAAGTATGCCAGACGAAAATCGAGTGACAGAGTGAGTCAGTCCCCAGCACCTGGTTGCTCATCGGACATCCGTGGGAAGCAAAGCAGCAAGCAAGGTTATAGATGATGTGGAATTGAGGGAATGCTGAACCCGGTCCAGAACATGTCTCGCTAACTAACAACATGAGGTCTTTCTCTGGACCGACATCAGCAGAAATAATATCCCCGTAGCGCCCCTTGATGTGGTCTGATATCTCCCCGTCCATCGTACCTTACATTGGAAGATGATTGAATATGATTCGCGCGCCTGATAGTTATAGTGAGGGAACTTTGTCTATCATGGCGATGATATTATGATGCGAGCTGGATGCTGTGCTCCCACGATAAATATAGGTTCCTGCCTATCCGACTTTCGACATGTGTGTGTTGACCCATACCCTGGAATTCGCGTATGCTCGTCATCTTATCCGAAGCCAGCCACCTCTTCCCGAACAATATGTCTCACTCACCGATTAAGGGGCCGGTGTTGGGACCTGCCTACCCTGGTAGGGCTTTTGTGAGCCGGCAAGTGGGCTCGGCTCTCGTTTCCAAGCGATGGTGTTTACGATGACGATGGGCGAATCGGACAATTCTATCAGTCGAGGAAGACTGAGGAACCCTTTTACACACCGGCTCGGGTAATCTGGAAAAGTAACCGCTGGCTTGGCATAAAAACGGGCCCATAGCAACTATAGATGGTCTGGATGATAATTTGCATGCAAAGTAAACAATCATAGACTTCGTTCCACGAACCAGATATGGGCCGTAGATAGCAGCCCGTGGCGTATTCCCAAACCCGCGCAGCTGGAAAACTAGCGGCTTGGATCTATCTATTGTTAATATAACGACGTCCCATCTCTTGGCTCGTCGATAGGCTCGACCCATCTGATCGCTGGTACAGGCGAGGAACCCGCTGATATGGCGGGCCAGCTGCGGGATCGATCGCGATGATGGTCCCTATTTCTGCGTCTGGCTGGCTGGGCCGTGATCATCTAAAAATGAATCAAGGAACAATCTAATCGACTCCGGCTGGACCCGGAAGTAGGAATGAAGGCTGATTCCCTCAGTCAGATCAGATTGTCTGGTAAGGCCAAGATGATGGCTCTGCAGTGATGAAGATATTCCCTCCCTCTGGTTATCGAACCATGGTCCTGTCCATCTACAGCACAGCGGGACTAGATTATCTATAAAGACCCCCTTGGCCTTCCCACTCGAGCAGACATAGAACCGGGTAATTCTCCTATTCTCATCATCAAAGTCATCCAAGCAAAACCAACTCACTTATACATCTTGATCAATATCCAACACGTCATGCGTCTCGACATTTCCATCGCCGCGGCCCTGGCCTCTGTGCCCTTTGCTGCCGCCATCTCTGGCAAGAGCTACACAGGATGGGACTGGTATGTCTGACTCTCATCTACACTTGTATGATAGAACAAGGAGGCTAACTCATTCTTACTCTCAGCTGCAAACCCGCCTGCTCATGGTCTGCCAACCTTGCTCGCAACGTCCAGTATGGCACCCTTCCAACAGTCCTATCCTATTCATCCCAGCTATCCAATGATACCCTGCCCACATCGCGTTCTTCACATCTACCCGCGTCTCCTCTTTCATTCGCAACCTCTGAAACATCCAATGCTAACACCCTTTCCCATCCTCAAAGAGGCTCCCCAAAAGTATGCGACATAAACAACAACCCGCTCGCAAACGGCCTAGCAGCAACAACAGGCTGCTCCTCGGGAATCGGCTACCTCTGCGACACCTACGTGCCCGTCCCCGTATCTGACACCCTCAGCTACGGCTTTGCAACCGTCGGCCCCACCGCCTCGTGCTGCAAATGCTACCAGCTGACCTGGACCAGCGGCGCGGCCAAAGGAAAGCAAATGGTTGTTCAAGTGATCAATTCTTTCGGCTCCGGCACAAACGATGTCAAGGGGAATGATCTGGTTATTCTTGCTCCTGGGGGTGGGGCTGGGCCTAATGAGGCTGGTTGTCGGAGTCAATATGGGAGGAATTGGTACGTCCCCCTTCTTCACTTACATTTCTAACTTGAGGAACTTGTTGAGGTGGTTGGCTAATGTTTGTGGTGTGGGAAACAGGGGCTCCAACAACGGGGGCGTCACCTCCGGGGCGGAATGCGCCAACCTGCCGCAGAACCTCCAGGGAGGGTGCTATTGGAGGTATAACTGGGCCCGCGGCGCCATCAACACGTGGAACATTGATTACCAGCAGGTTGCGTGCCCGTCGAGACTTACTTCTATTTCGGGGTGCTCAGCTTAGGACTCGGTATACTTCAAGTTGTCCACATGGAGTTTCGGTTCTGAGGGGGAGAGAACAGGGATTGATTGATTGATAGAAAAAGTCTGGAAGGAGCACAAGATGGGTTTGTAGACCTTGGGAGGTTTTGCTAATTTGTGTTGTTTTCGTCCGAGATAATTATGCTTCTTGTTGTTGAATGGGTTTTGAGATGATACATGGTTAGCCAGCGAGCGAGCGAGCGTTTGTTGAAATATAAAAGTCGAATGTTGTCTCTTATTTGAAAAGCTGTAAACTTGAAGGCAGCTTGAAAGACTGCCCTTGAGATTCCAATCTTAGGCCCGTGGTTGGACTCTATCTTGTCCTGCTTGTATCTTTTTATATATTAGTCAGGCTTTGAGTGACTATGAGTCTTTCATTGCCGTCTACTAGTCGTCTCGTCTCGGAACATGTTGCGAGATATATCTTGATTGTTTTACTATCAAGTGCCACATTGCCCTCAGGCCCCTAGTGAGAAAGAGGATAATCAGAAGCTGTATGCCTCACTGAACCAAGAGAGATATATCATCATATAAACAGGATAGAAGTGCCGAATCAATCCATTCAAGATCATGTTACACTTGCAGTTACCCAGAGTGAACGTGGACTCTCGGGGAAACTCTCGGAGACGAGACATTAGCACCTGAACGTCATTGTCTAACTCGAACCGGCGCTTTTGCCTTTATAACCTTGGTTGCTGAGCACAACAGCCCAGTTGTACTTCACAAGCGGCAACAAGGTCTAGCCATTTGAACTATCAGTCAGGATTGAAAAGGATGAAGATATC